AGAAGTCAACACAAGGGTGTTGAAATCTTTGAGAAATCTTTGATAAACCATCTATAGAATCTTGCATGTCCAAGAAAACAACGAACCTCTCTCACCGAAGTAGGAGAGGGTAAGTAGCGTACGAGATCTATTTTAGATTTATCAACTTCGATTCCCTTTTTTGAAACTATATGACCTAAAACAATGCCTTGTTTTACCATGAAGTGACATTTTTCCCAGTTTAAAACAAGGTTAGTTTTGATGCAACGTTTCAATATCAAAGTGAGATTAGTTAGACAATCATCAAAAGAATCACCAAAGACACTTAAATCATCCATGAAAACTTCAATCTCAACAAAATCTGAAAAGATACTTACCATGCATCTTTGAAAGGTGGCTGGTGCATTATATAAACCAAATGTCATTCGACGATAAGCAAAAGTACCAAATGGACAAGTAAATGTAGTATTTTCTTGATCATCTTGAGCTATAACAATCTAATTTTATCCCGAATAACCATCAAGAAAGCAATAAAAAGAATGACCAGCTAACCTTTCAAGCATTTGATCAATGAATGGTAGAGGAAAATGGTATTTCCTTGTGGTGGCATTGAGCTTCCTATAGTCAATACAAACTCTTCAACCTGTTTTGGATATGAGTGGGCACAAGTTCATTCTCTGCATTCTTTACCACAGTGACTCCAAATTTCTTTAGTACTACTTGAACCGGTGAAATCCAATGACTATCAGAAATTGGATAAATGACTCCACAATTTAGAAGCTTGATGATCTCATTTTTCATAACTTCCATCATTGGAGGGTTAAGTTGGCGTTAAGCCTCTCGATTTGGTTTAGCTCCCACCTCTAGAAGTATGTGATGCATGCAGGTTGTAGGACTTATTCCCCTAATGTCGGCCAAAGTCCATCCAATAGCTGTTTTTTACTCTTTCAACACCCTAACCAGTTTCTCCTCCTCTAATGCCATGAGAGTTGAAGAGACTATGACTGGCAAAGTCTCTTTGTCTCCCAAGAAAACATACTTCAAATGATTCGATAATGGTTTAAGCTCAATAGAGGGTGCCTGAATCACTAAAGGTAACAACTTGTTAATAGAAACAGAAATTGGAATTGGATGAGGAGGCTTACCAATATGTTATGGCAAAGACTCAAGGGCAGCCAAAATATCAAAAATTTATGCAAGATTAGGCTCGGCCATATTGGTTTTGAGTCCAATTCCTTTGACAATGGTTGTCTTAAGTGCATCGCTATTTAAGAATTCAAGATATTCTTGTGCCAAAGAATCAACTACATTAATAGAAAAACAAGAATGATCATCAATAGTATACCTCATAGCTTCAGAAATATTAAAGTCAATGACCTCACCATCAAATTCCATTGTTAACATCCCCTTAAACACATCTATCTTGATTCGGGCTGTTTTCATGAAAGGTTTTCCAAGTAATATTGGCAATGGTGTATAGTGGGCTGAATCTTTCATCTCAAGCACATAAAATCTACTGGAAAGATCAAGTGGTTAACCTGCACCAAAACATCTTCCAAAACTCCTTTCGGGTATGCATTAGATTGATTAGCTAATTGAATAATATCACCATCATTTTGAAGCTCTCCCATATTCATAGATGCATAAATCGAGTAAAGCATGACATTAATTGAAGCACCTAAATCTAACATAGCACGTTCAAACTTGGTATTACACAAAAGATCGTGAAACTACCTGGATCTTTTCATTTAGGTGGCACCTTTCTTTGCAAAACTGCAGAGACATGTTCACTTACCCGTACCACTTCCTTTTTTGAGATCCATTTTCTTGTTGTATAAAGCTTATTCAAAATCTATTGGTGTGGAGTACTCTAATTCCAACTTTCTCTACAAAGTTCCTGTTAAGGAACAAAGTCTACTAACTTCTCCTCTGGTTTCTAGAGTGATCTTCTTTATACTTCTTAGGACTTGTACCGTAGTAGCTTGCAAATCTCAATTTGTAACTTTTCCACCTGACTTCTCAGAAGAAGTCGGGCTTTCCAGAATAGCAGGATCTCGTAGGGAGGGAAAGTCTTCCGAGTGATTTGTAATGTCTGATCCTTTTGGACAATGGGGTTGCCCGTACTTTGTTTTCCACCTGAAAGTTCGCTCATATCTTCTTCTTGGCATACAAGGTTACTGTGATCCCACAAGGTGTGCCAAAACTATGTTCGAGCAAGATTTCCCTCGCACAGTTTCCCGATGAGGTGGCACTTTGTTGGTTATCGAGCAGGTTCTTGCTGCTTGGTACATTGCAAAAAAAGTTTGTAGTTAGTTTGAAAGGTGCCTTTGTAGGGCTTTTGGTGTAAGCCTTGAGGCTCACAATCAAAGCTAGCAAAGATTTGAGTATGCCACTGTTATCTTAGTATAACAGATTGTTGAATACGAATGAGTTAAGTTGATTACTTGCGCCCCAAGTTACTCTAACTTCTTGTTTATCAAAAGATTGTCACATATGGGTTAAGTCTGTATTAAGTTCTTTTCTTGCCTTGTAAACAAGGACTTTTAGTTCATAATCTTGTATGTCTAAAACAAATGGAGTTCAAGCATCTTTCAACCACTTCCTCGATCACAATTTGTTTTTAATGAAACTAGGTTTATTAACTTAACCAAATTCAAATACAAATGGAACTCTTAAGTAGAAAACAGTTGATAATAACTTGAATACATGCTGGAAAGTATATTAAGTGACATATCTACTAAACAAAAGTACAAACAAAGAGACTTAGGCAAGATTTCACCTTGTCGGGCAAGGTTGAACTTCTTGCAACCATTTTTCTTTGGGTTTACAGAAGGTTGTATGCTAAAAGGGATGGAAAGTAAATAGGTTTTACATGAGGGAATCAATACTACAATACTAAGGGAAGGTAGCATAGCTTTTACACTAGACAAATTATGGCTTTTCCTAAGGGGAACTATAGCTAAAATGACTTAATCTTGACAAGTTTAAGCTTTCTGGTTATGAACTGGCTTGAGAGCAGAGTTTGTATGTCTTTTGATTGGTTGGTTGAATGTCTTTCTCTCTGGTGTCTCTTTCTCCTTTTATAGACAAATTGGCCCAACCCTTCTTGCCTTGCTTTTAACTGAGATAATTTGGAGGGCAATGAGTCATTGCTTTATTTACTTGTCTTGCCCTTGAAAATGTGCTTTTGGCTGGTGGTGAGTTGGTCTTTGTCACCCATCACTTCCATCATAGGCACATGGTCTATGACTTAGCTGAAAATGGCTTTAATTCACTTCAGGCGTATCGACTGGGCTTTTGGGCAAGTATCGTTTGTTTTAGTGCCTTTGGGCTTTCACTAGCATGAAGCCTAATGTTAAATATTAATCCAAACAGTAAGCGCTTCCATTCATATCTAATAAGATATAAAAATAAAATAAACCTCGAATTCTCTGTACTTAAAACTTTTAACTTGTAATATCAGAAACACAAAACTTCCACCCTCAATCCCTAACGACATACTTGATTCTTAAACTCAGTCATGTACTAGGGTCGCAACCCATGATATGTTTTGAAAAACAACCCCAGTGAAGACCTTCAAACCTAACCTCCCAAGCCTCAACATTAACTTTGGGGCGCATTTAACAACCATTTTGTTTTTCATTAACTTTTTTTTTTAAAAACGATATTATCTACACTAAGGGAATAGGGGAGTGAGCTAAGTCTCACAATGGACTAGTAATAATGTTGTTCAAATTGCCCTTGGCGAGAATCGAACTTAAGACCTCTCACTTACAAGTAAGAAAAATACCACTAAACCGTAATACTAAATAAATAAGCATACTCAAAACTATTTTAGCTTTTAATGTTCAATTTTTCTTACTAGAGATGCATCATTGCCGTTTTCCCCCATCATTCATTCCTTGTGTTTCCTCTTTTCTTCTAACCAAAAAAATTAAAATTATTAAAAGCTAAAATCAACATGGTTATCAAACATGCTCTTAGCCCTTTTGAAGGGGGCATCTCCAATGGAGAGGGCTAAAGGTCCAAAAACCAAAAAATTGTCTGATTACCCAAAAACTCATCTCCAATTGATGGCTAGGCTATAACTTTATAGAGCCCACCAAACTATTATTTGGCCAGCCCCTCTTAGCCCTTTTTTGAGGATCAACTCCTCAGTTGCAATAATTGATTCATATTCAAAGACTAAATTTGAAAACATTCAACGAGTTTAACTAAATTAAAGAATAAACTTAAAACTAATAAATTATTGAGAGGACTATGTTTAACCCTTTCGGTTGGAGATAGTCTTAGCTTCATCTAAATCAAATCAAAGCTTTGCACTCAGAGTCACAACACTAAACCCTAACACCGGCATTCCAAACTAGAATCACACATTTTGGGCAGACTATTAGATCCGGTCCATTTTTCAAAGGCGTCTATTTTCTTTTCTTTTCTTTTTTTTTGGAAACAAAAGGCATCTATTTTCTTCTCAACAACAAAATCTCAAAAAGCAGCCCATTGTTTTCCTTGTTTGAGAAAATAAAGTATTTTCCTAGTATCTTATGGAACAGTTGGGGTATGACGTTTCTTTAGCATCTAGTAAGCTTCCAGCAAATCTGGTAGTGAAAATCGAAAACCATAGCGATTATGGCAAAATCCTCAAATAAATGAATGCTCCAAAGTTTTATAAAAACTAGTACCTCTATTGATTACATTTTAGGCTCTCTCTTTAGTCATGTTTGGCGTCTAGGATTCTGATTGAATAACTCATTATATTCAATGTACGCTTACGAAAGATGAAAAAGATTTACCCAACTTATTCTACCAACGGATAAAAGTTTCATTCATGTTTATTCCCTCTAATCCGTTCAAAACGAAAAAATATTCACCTCTACCTACAGGCTCTAATCAAATCAAGTCCTATCACAAAAGCAAAAAGAATTGTGGCTGAAGCAACACCAAAATCATCTTAGAAGTTCTAATCATATATATATATTGTACAACAAATACATACATTGATACATGATAACATTAAGGGAGTCCAATGCTGACCACCTGAAATCTTTTTTCCTTTTCACTTTTTGCCCTTTTCTTCTTATACACATCAATGTTGATATAAAAAGTAAAAACTATATCTTCATGAATCAAATGACAAATAAACATATGTACATTTTACAGGGTTACCAGAAATTGTCATCAAATGCTACCCTGGTTGACGGAGACGGATCCTCATCTTCTTCCATTTCAAACTCTGACTCTCCAGACCTGAATTCAGACTAGATAGCAGCAAGATTCTTCAAATCAACCATTGATAGCTCGTCCAGTCGCCTAACCACCAAGTCTGCAGCTGCAAGCTCATATACAGGATGCTTGCTTGCAACAACCACACACTTCATCCTGGCATCGTGGGCAGCCTCAACTGTCTGATTCGAGTTCCCAAACACAATACACCGCTCAAGTATGAACTTTAGAAGTTGTGCCATGTACTCAAACATTTCTGGATTAGGTTTTACCCTTTGAACATCTTCTACAGCTACCATCACACTGAAATATTCTTCAATACCAATGGATCCCATTGCAGCCTCAAGAGTTTTTCGAGGGCGTGTGGAGACCAGTGTCGTTGGTATCTTGGAATGCATCAAGACATTCACAAACTCTCTTGACCCAGCTCGCAATTGATATATTCCACCCTGCAAAGCTTGGTTTATGTCTTCCCTTCGAGCAGCCATTCTTCTCAACTGCGCTGGGTCTCGAGACCAACATAGAACTTCCGACATTGCCTGTTCATTCTTCATACCTTCTATTCTTCTAAGCATGAAAGCCGAGGGAGGAGATTTTCCCTCTTCTTGAGAAAGAACTAGCCAGGCTTGCTTCTCAAGATCAGTATTGTCTTCAATCAAAACTCCTTCCCACTCGAATATTACAACTAGCCAACCACTCCCTATCCGCTCCTGCCGAAGCAAGGGATTGTGTAGTGAAGGGTTATATGCTCTATTCTCTGGTGGCCACAACCCAGGTTTTGGATCTACACCGGTATCAATTGGATAATTCCATTTATGAGGAAGTTTATCCTCCTTGAATGAATACGTCTCCTTCGCCAACTCCATTGCAAGGGCCTTGATCGAAGAATTCTTTGACTGACCAACCCTCAACCTTGGCAAAGGAGAAGCCATAACAACCCTTCTACCAAGAACTTCCGCTACTGGAAACCGACAGTTATCAGGCAATCTCCTTTTGTTGGAGAAATTCTTAACGAAGGCTCCCGTATATAACGGTCGATGTCCAAGAAAAGACGTTAAAGCAAGTGATTCAGCCATCCTCGACTCACTGAAAAAAAAAGAAAAAAGAAAAAAAGAGGTAGCACCTTTCATTTACCATTTGAGTTGCTAGTACTTTGTTTAAAAATGCATTTCTCTTACGTGTCAGAAAATTTATAAGGTCGATTGCTACTTTTTTTAAGTTAATAAATTGGGTTGTGCAATATATTTTATTTAAAAATATTGTTTAGCAAAGAATTTAGAATAAAAATTGAACATATGATATTAAGATATTTGATTTTTTAAAATAAAAAATAAAATTTGAAGAGTGTTATTTTTAGTTGTGATTGTGTAAATCAAAGATGGATTTGGTTTCTAGATTATCTATTAATCTAGTTGTTCTTTTCCTATGGTATCGTTTGGTATGCAGACGGGACGGGATGGGATGGGACAAGACGGGACGGAACGGAGAGGGAGCAAAGATGCCCTCGGATGGAAACAAGGAGGAAAAAGAAGGAGACGGAGAGGTTATAATTTTGTGTTCCACAGATGTGGAACGAGTCGTTCCAGGGAGTGAGATGGAATGAAAATTCACCCAAAACTTGTCCCGTGGAACAGGATGTTCCACTTGTTTTAGGCGCATCAAACGTGGAACGGTACGCCTCGTCCCACTCCGTTCCGTCCCATCCCATGTACCAAACGGTACCTATAGGATTGTATTTACTTGGAGAACAAGTTCCTTTCAGCTACTATAAATAAATGCACTGTGTTGGGTGGAATACACACAAGAATCCTAAGCATTCTACAACCTCTCCACTCTCTCTTTTTACATTTTCACTAACCTCTTCAAGAGGATCGAGCACGTTTAGCTCCTTGATATTATTTTGCCTTACTTTTGAACGAGAAAACAAAGGATTTCTCCGGAAGGCATTCATCATACTAATGTGATCTTCCAGAATTGGGCCCCTAGAATTTTGTAACCCGTCGAGCTTTATGCTCACTTCGTTTGAATACTTATTCACGAGTTTCTGTAAATGTTTGTTTATTCTCTTTCTTCAATACCTTATTTTTGTGTCGAAGATTTAAACCTTGGGAGTTTATACTTCGATACTTCTGGCTTGTAGGCGTTGACTCGTGTTTACCACAGAAGCCACACTTCGATTACTCAAAAGAGTCATGAACGGCTTGTGTGTCCGTTGTTGTTACTAAGAAATAGTTGATCTTCTGGAATGAGAATATCTTTCAATATGCTTTTGAGGAGCAAGATTATATGATATCATGTCATTAGGGAGCGAGATTATCTCATATCATGTTTCCATCTTTTTGGTAAACATCATGTTTCCATCTTTGGTGAAGTTCTTTGGTTCACCAAATGCTGTCATCAAATTCAGCTAGTTTTCTTGACCTTGCAAGACCAAGATATGACAGAAGAGAGAGCTTGCATTCTAAGCATATTACTTCTATCCTTTCTTGATTACTGACCAAGCCTTTTCTCTAGCACTTGAAAAGAGTATCAGATTATTTGCGTATAGTTTCTCAATTCCTCCCCGATTGCTAAAGGGAAAATTGCATAATTTCCTTTCCCCATCAATTTAGATGAAAAGTTTCTTAGCCTACGATTTCAATCCAAGCTTGTTTCAAATTTTTTGTTTGAATCCCATGTACATTGATGAATTCTTATTAGTATTGACATTCCTTGTACTTGTACAAATATTAGTGATGTTGTCGAGCTGGGATGACAATGTTTTGCTTGTAAGCATAATGGTAATGTTGCCACCTTGTTTACGACGATTGTACTTGGGAACTAGTACTTGGAATTGTTGAACTTGTTGTTAACTAATTCTGTGGATGGTTGTTAGGATTGGTACTGAAAATTTCGAGGACAAAATTTTTTTTTAAGGGGGAAACTGGATTTCACTGTCATAATCTACATATTTGTATTATTGAGATTTTATATTATTTTTCGAGAAATTATATTAATTTATTTGGATTTAAATTTTAATTAAATTAGTTACTAAGTTTGAAGTTTGGAAATTAATTATCTAAAATTCACCTTTTGAGGTCACAAGTAACGTTTTCGAATAGATCTTGAAACTACGAGCGCATAGGCAAAAGCCGTTTGAGAGTCCGGATTATAACGGTATAGATACGGACATTTGAAGTTGTGTTACTTAACTATAGATTTTAAATTTATTTAAACTCCTACCTTGTGGGAAAGAGGCCAATCAAAATTTATGTTGGTCAAGGGAGGACCAATCAAAAAAAGGGAAAGGAGGGGAAAGGCGAGAAGAAGAAAATAGGGGGAATCAGGTAGCAGCCAACCCTACCCGATGACTTTCAAACTCGACGCCATTCACGGCGTTCCACAACGAATCGATGCAAATTGCCACCTGGAAACAACTCCCTAGCCTTCCCTCTTCCATTTCCAACCAAATTGTATTGGGTTTGAACATGGGTTTGAGAAGAATGAAACATGTGGGTTTCGAGGGTGTCATGACGGAATCCGACGATCGTGAAGGTTATGTTGAGCACCACCACCATCAAACCACTCCCATTAAGGCCAGGAACAAAGCCCAATCAACATTTGGGGCAGCGAAGCGACGAAATGAACAAATCGATGTTCACCCTTTTAGGGTTTTCCAGCGGTTCTTGATGATTTCAGGTCACTTCTCGGCCAAATTGGACTTGGTCACATGTATGAAAATTGTTCCCCACACTGAGATCTACATGCCTATAAAATTTAGTAATTTTAAAAAATAGTTGAATTTCCCGGCGAGTCGGAGTGGCTGACCACAACACACGGCGGCGCATGCGGTAGCGCATGGCCAATGGGCAGATGATGTCTTTCTTAACTTCAATTAGATGCCCTAATTCCATAATGGATGTCCGTATGACGTAATTTGATTGTTTGAAATTAGTTTCATTACGATACATTACTTGGTCAAAATATGAAACGACAATTCGACTGTTGGATCGTCACCAAAACTTAATGAATTATAGAAAATAATATTTGAGGATAATTGGAATTGACGGATCCGTAATCCGACATACAGATCATCCTGAATTAGATTTCTAAGTTAGGCAAATTAATTGTTAACTGCCACTTAATTCTAGCAATTGGCAGAGATCCGACTGTTGGATCGTGATGATATTTTAGTATGTTGTTATTTGAGCATAATGTAGACCCTAGGAAGTTACAGATCAATATTGTGATGTACGGATCTTCCGGATTAAATTGCTAGGGTGTGGACCCCACCGTTGACTTTTAGACAACGGGTTGTGAACCATTTGAATTACTAAAATTAGTATTACTGGAGACTCAGTGAAGCTTTGCGGATTTGTCTCGGTGAGTGATTTTAATATATGTGATATGGTGATTACCCGATTCCTTATATTAATATCCTTTGTGGATATGAATCGGTTTTATAAATGTGTTTTCTGTTTAGATGTGATTCTTTTATAATTGGCCATCTATCTATTTTTATTAAATGTGATTTGATTCATGAATTGGTAATATTTGTGAAAAAAAAATGATTCGAATTGCATATTGAAATGTTTGTTAAATTGAGGGCTAGTAGGGGACCATGACCCTGCTTGGTTAATCCGCGATGGGGGACCATATTATTTATGGATTGCGCTTGGTTAATCCGCAATGGGCGATCCTTATGTCCATGTATACTTAGGAGTGATCTTAATCCGCGATGAGTGATCACTGCCTAACAGTTTTGTAGGTGTGACTCTGCTTAGTTAATCCGCGATGGAGGGTCACTACCTACTTGGTTATCATGACCCTACTTGGTTAATCCGCGATAGGGGGGTCACTAGTGGTCTTACTTGGTTAATCCGTGATAGAAGACCATATTATTTATGGATCGTGCTTGGTTAATCTGTGATGGGCGATCCTTACGGCCATACATACTTAAGGGTGATCATGCTTGGTTAATCCACGATGGGTGATCATTGCTTAACAGATTCATGGGAGTGACTCTACTTGGTTAATCCGTAATGGGGGGTCACTACCTACATGGTTACTTAGGGGTGGCTCTGCTTGGTTAATCCGCTATGAGGGGCCACTTCCTATTTGGTTACTTATGTAGGCTTCGACCGAACTGCGTCCCTCTAGCCCTAGTTTTTAATGTACATATAAATAATGGTTTTTAAGAATCTTGTGAGTTTGAATTAGAAAAACCGTTGGATGTTTGGGTGACTTCTACGGAGTTTTCAGCGACTTGATTATGATTCCATAAAGCATGACTCTATACTTGATGTTTATAGATTGTGATTGATGGTTTGTTTTAATTGAATATCACATACTTGTATTATTGTCACTCACCCGAGCTTCGCAGCTTATTTGAGTGTCTGATTTGCCCAGTGTGATATCTCCTTAATGTAGGCATGATTGTACATATGACAAGTCTGGGTAGATTACGGGAAACAGCTTGGTATTTTAGTTCAGTTGAGTGGTCCGAAATCCTTACTCTTGCTCATTTCCATAAGGTTAGCCTAGAACTCTAGATTCGAGTGAATGGGAATTACCCCTAATAGACGTTGTGAATATAATTAGAATTATCATATTTATTACTCATAATCCAAGTATGGAATTATATAGAGTTCCTTGGTTAAATTCATGAAATTATGTTTTTGCATTGATTGATTAACGTAATTAAATGTTAAGATCGTGCATCTTTGATTCATGAATTGATTAATTGACGGGATTGTGGAATAATGCTGGATATGATTGTTATTAGTATGATTGTTTAGTTGATCGATGTGGCTAGAAAATAATATTGTGCTTTGTTGATTCTTTAATATATTACATGCTAAGTATTGTGATTTTATGTGGAGAAACGTGATGATTTATGTGATGGATGAAATGGAAATAGTAATGGTCTTGTGGGATTGTTATGTAACCCTGAACCTAGAAATTTCTAGCATGTCAAGTTCTATTACTTGATTGATGAGTGCTATGATTTCCCACTTAAAAGTACTATGATAAAAGTTGAGGATAATGTTTGGGTGAACTACGAATGACTTGATCCCTATTGAGGGTACGTAGGCAG